TCTCTCTCTCTCTTATCCTCCCCTGTGCAAACACATCTAGAAATACCATTAGCAACTCCCATACATACACCTGTGAGTACCTTTAACCTCTTCCCTCCCCTGAGTATGCATGCACATACACCCCTGTGGGCAGGTCACTTATTCCCCTAGCCTGGACTTTTCCTGGTAAGGAGAGATATATATATGCTGTTCTCCAAGATAGAGTGTAAGCATCTAGAGGGCAGAGGCTGTGTCCCCAGCATCTAGTACAAGTAGCCCCCTTCTAAATGCATGCAGATTGAATGCAGAATAGTTATGGATATATGTACTCAGTGGTCTGGATGACAAGCCAGGGTAAAGAAAACCCAGGTTCAAGCCCTCCTTCTTTCACTGAGTTGGTAATGTGACCCGCCCCAGTCACTCCATACCTAGGCAGGAGATATTAGGATCACAGGCTTAAAGCTAGAAGGAACCTTAGAAATCCAAACTTTTTCCCATTTTACAGAAGAGGGAACTGAGACACAAAGATAGAAGGTGATTTGCCCAAGATCACATGAGTCATAATTATCAGAGCCACAAGCTCTGAGAACCTGGGAACTCTGACTCCAGACCTAGTGTTCTTTACATTGCACCCTGACTGTCCTTACTATTATGAAGCTTAAATGAGATGCTGCACGTTGAAACATTTTACAAAGTGCTATGTAAACCTTTCCAAAATAAGGTACCTCCCCAGCTAGTGAATGTGGTTCTGTGAACACCGTCTTTCTCTCAGGAGTCCCTCTGGGCCTGGCTGGTGACACTTTCGCTGCTCCCTGAGTCTGCACCCTCATCCTGCCATGTTGAGTCCCAAGATTGGCATCGCTGTCCTGCTGACAGGTAGCAGGTTGAGGGGTAGTGGGGATGGGTCTCTCTCTTCCTCTAGGTTGGTCTCATTGGGACTTCAGAGTTACCTCTGTTTCTGAATACAGCGGAGAAGAACAGACCCAAAATTCAGTCTATAAAAGAGGTGATATCTCCTCATGAGGAGACAAGGAGGGTGGCATGATTCTTCAGGGGTCATGTGAGGAGGGGTGGGTGAGGGACATGGCCCCATGTTTCCACTCTCTTGGAATGGTGAGGGGGGATTCAGGAAGGAAGTAAATTTCTTCCCGGGCCCCTTTCTCCCTATAAGCTCCTTCTCTCTGCCCAGGCCAGCTCTGGGGTGGTCCTGAGTCAAGTCCCAATAAGGGGTGGTTGGGTGCATGCACCAGTCTTGCAGGTGGCCTATGGACAGAAGGTGAGTGATCTGACCGCTTGTTTGGTGGACAAGAACCTGAGGGTGGACTGCCGATATGAAAATAACACCAAGTCCCCACTTCAGTATGAGTTCAGCCTGACCCGAGAGAAACAGAAGCATGTGCTGAACTCCACAATGGGAGTGCCTGAGCATGCCTACCGGAACCGGGTCAACCTCTCCATCTCCCATAACTATATGGCCCTCTTCCTGAAAGACTTCAGCCAAAAGGATGAGGGTATCTACTCCTGTGACCTGCGTGCTTCTGGGATCCCCAACTCCTTTGTCAGCAAGAATATCACTGTCTACAAAGGTGAGGGGAACCCTAAAGGCCAGGAGGATAGGAGAGGGTGTAGAGAGAAAGTGGACAGTGGAAGAATGAGAAGAGAGAGTCCTGGGGCTCAGCAAAAAAAAAAAAAAAAAAAAAAAAAAAAA